CCCCGGGGTTGGGGGTGCGTTCCCTCCCCCGGGCCCTGCCTGCAGACCCGGCAGGGGAGGTGCGGGCAGGAGCTGCCTGTTCTTGGTCTTGCCCGCCCTGCAAACCGTAACCCATCCACGCTCCCGGCGCCCCTTAGACTTTGTCCCGTGAGAAATGTGGCCGTTGCAGACGTGTCCCTCCCCAAAGCTGGGCAGAAAAGCCAAAATACTGAAGTTTTGCGTTGAACGCGCCCACACGCCTCATCCCAGCCCTTTCCTTTTGATCTGCCCGGTTTCGTGGTTTCCAGGCCGGGGCTGGTTTAAGCACCCTGCTCTGGGGAGAGGATCCCAGCTCCGGGGAAGCCTGACCTGCTGCCAGTTGGCAGAGGGTTTCGTCCCAGTCCTGGGGCACCTCGGGGATGCTCCGGGCGCTGGGGCTGCTCCAGCAAACTGGGATGCTTGGTCTGCAGAGAACGGCATGATGGCGTGTCCCTCTGCCCAGTGCCTAACTGGATTTCACTTCCATTTTCCTGATATTTCGGCAACTTTGGTGGCAGATTCTTTATTTTGGGGCCTGCACTTGGTGCCGGGGCTGGAGGATGGGTGGGAGATGGGCAGGGTGTGCTTTTCCCTGGGGAGCTCCCCTCGCTTGCACCCCTCTCTGCACAGGAGCCCCCTCTCCCAAAAGGTCCCTTTTGGTCCCCTCCCTTGGGGACAGGGCTGAGCGGGGCCGGCTGGCTGCAACTGGGGCTGTGGGCAACCGTGCGCGCCGTGGGGCAACCTGGGGCACGCGAACAACCCCTGTCCTTGCTCCCAGGCGTGGTGGGAAGAGCTGCCGGCCCCCCTCACCGTCCCCTGCCTTCCCCCACAGCCCAGCCCAGAAACTCGTCTTCAACAGAGTGAACGGCAAGAGGCCGCAGGTGCTGCCGCAGCAGGTCTCGGCCCCCGAGGAGTGCTACACGCTGGCCCACGAGGAGAACGTCCGCTTCGTCTACGAAGGTGAGGGCAGAGGGTCCCTGGGGACAGCGCCCGCTCGCCGTCGCATCCCCGGAGGGCTGGAGGACAGCGGGGTCCCTCCCGAGGCAGCTGCATGGTGCTGGGGACCTCGGTGGCAGGGGTGGGGTCCCCGGCCTGGGCAGCTGCCCTCCCTTGCGCCGGCTCCTGCTCCCGGCTCCTGCTCCTCTCCCGCAGCCCCCCCCTGGCTGGGAAATCCCCCTCCCCAAACCATCCCCTGCCTGTTCCCCCCGCCCCAGCCTGGCAGCAGGTAGAGCAGCAGCTGGACGGCAGCCGGAGCGGGGAGAGCGCCTGCGGCCCTGTGCAGTACGTAGAGAAAAACCCCAACCCCGGACTGAAAAGTAAGTGGGAAGCAGTCGTGGTGCTCGGGGTGCAATGAGCTGGCGGGGGCTCAGCCGGGCACCTGAGCAGGGCTGCGGTGGGAGGAGGAGGAGGATCCCGGGGCTGGGTTGGGTCTGTCCCGCCGGTGCTGGGGGGTAGCTGGCCCCCGGCACTGTGGTGGGGATGTCCCACCGTGCCCCCTCGGAGGAGCCCAAGCAAGCAGGACGCCTGGGTGCTGACTCTCCTGGAACTCATGCCTTCTCCAGCCACCAAGGTGGGTTCAGCATCGTGCTGGAGGGGAGCCCCCGGGTCCCGCTGTGGGGACCTGCCTCTCCCGCGGCCCAGCAGGACCCAGCCGGAGCGCAGTGAGGACGGGGACACCGTGCTCCTCTGATGGCAGCTGGAGCAGGGGCTGTGCACGCAGCCTGGGGGCCAAGAAGTCCCCAAGAAGAGAAGGTCCCTGTAAACCCAGGCTGGCCTTTTGGGGACAGGGCACAGGGGCGGGGGAGCCTTTGGGGTGTCATTTTTTCCAGTGGCAAATGGCGTGGTTCAGGGGGATCACCCGGGGCGCTGCTCCCTGCTCCGGCTGCTACGTCCTCCTCTCTCCCTCCCCTCTCTTTCAGACTTTGTTCCCATCGACCTGGAGGAGTGGTGGGCGCAGCAATTTCTGGCCAAAATTGAAAACTGCTCATAAAAGGGAAGAAAGGTTTGGGTTTGGTTTTTTTTAAGAGAAACAGTGCTGAGAGCATCTGGGCAGAACCCAGAATCGGTGGCATTTTAAAACCACGTTTTTAAAAGATGACCGAAGCGAAGTGACCCACGCTGCCAGCCCAGCGAGGCCAGCGGGACCGGACCACAGCCATGCCCGGCCGCGCGCCCTCTCCCTGCGCCCAGCGTGGAGGAGCAGCGTGCGGCCCCGGCCAGGATTCCTTAAGTGCCAGTTCTCGGATCGCTGCAGCTCCTGCAGCCTCCAGCTCCCAGGGACACTGCGGTGCCGTGCTGGGGCCGAGGAAGCGGATCCCCTGCTGCGGCCGTAGCCACGGGGAGGACAGCGGGGTGCTGTAGCAGGGACCGCCAGACAATAAAGCGCTGAGACTGCCAGTGGAGAGGTGCTTGCGGGCCGGGGAGGAGGTGTTTTGCAGGAGGTGGCGAAGCGGCTGGGGTGCAGCATTGTGCCCCAGGCTGGCGTGGAGCGGGGCACCCCTGTGGAGGGGGACGCTCCTGGCTGAGCGGGTGCCGTGCTGCTCTGGAGGCAGAGGGCTTGGAGCATCTCCCTGGAGCTGCATCCTTGTCCCAGCGCTGCCTCAGCACCCTGGGCTCAGCCAGGGGCTGGCGCTGCCTTGGGGGTGGGGTTGGGATTGGGGTGGGGGAACGGGGGCAGATGCATGGGCATCCAGAGCCAGGCTGCAGCGTGGAGGTAGGTAAGGCTGCAGGAATGGGGGTGCTGGGGCAGCCCCCCCGGCCACGCACGCCCTCGCCAGTGCTCTGACAAGTGCCGTTTTGAGGGCCGAGCTCAAGGTCTCCCCCTTGCCCATGGCTGGTGGGGGGGCAAAGAGAGGGTGGTTGTGGCTACCTGTGGTGGAAGGGATGTGGCCCCCCCCACTTCTGCCCCCAGAGGCACCTGGCGTGCAAAAATCCCTCAGCCCAGGGGCTTTTCCAGGCTGCACTGAGCCCTTCCCGGTCAGGTTTTGGAGGTCATCCCTGTCCTTCCCCCAGGCAGAGAGCAGGAGCATCCCTGTCCTCCAGCCCAAGCCCACCAGGGCTGGAGCTGCTCTCTGATTCCGAAAGAGGCCAGGAAACAGCCACTGGAAAAAAAAAAAAATCATCTTTATTATTCCTATGATGGGAATAACAACCACTCCGCAGCCAGAGGGGAGCCGCAGCCACCTGGAACCCACGCTGCTTCTCCCACCGCACATGGCCACCGCAGCCTGGGATGCCAGAGCGTTGCCGCCAGCAGCCACGGCCCTGCCAGCATGAAACCTGGCTGGCCGCGGCAGCAGCGCCCGTCGGGGAGCAATCCTGGTCCCGGTCCTGCCCCGGGCTGGCGCGGCTCGGCCCTGCGGCTGTAACCACGGGGGTCGAGCACCAGGCACAGCCGGCAGCTCCTGCCAGGGGGGGTACAGCACCGTGACCAAGAAACGCTGCTTCCCTCAGCCGTTCTCCGTTTGGGCCAGGGTGACCCTGGCGGTGGTGGCTGGTGCCAGGAGATGCTGGCCTTGCCATTGACTCCTCTACCCCGGCTCTGCCGGGGTTACGCTGCCTCCGTGCCACCTGCCCCAGGAGCCTTGCAGGGTTGGGGGTTGTTGGGGTCCCTTGCACCGGTACCCCAACAGGGCATGTCCTGGGGGGCCCAGCTGCCCCGCCTGCTGCCACCATCCTCGGTACCTGGCATAAGCCCAGGCTGCAGTTTGGCATCCAGCCCTCCCACAACCCCCCTTCCCACTGCTCCCCAGCCCAGGCAAAGCCCCGAGGCCTCTGCTGCATCCTGCCACATCTCCCCTTCCAAAAAAACCCAGTTACTGGGAGTCCCAGCACTTCCCGGGGGCCTCCGGGTCCCCTCCCACCAGAAAGCGTCCTGGTCGCTGGTGCTGGGGTCTCCCACCGCGGGGTGCCCTGGCAGCGGCCGGCTCTGCTGCCTGCAGGGATGCTCCCAGGGAGCGAACCCTGTGTGCCAGCAGCTCCAAAGGGCTCCGAGGGGTTCCAGGGCTGCCGTTCACCTGCTGGCTGCTTACTAATCGAACCACACATCGTTAAGATCCAGGGAAATTCTTAGTAACATGATGCACCATCGTTTGGAACAACAACATTAGGCAAAGGGGGAAAAAAAAGGAACAGGAAAGAATGAGTCAGTCACAGGAACAAAACAAAAACCCAACCCAAAAATATAACCCAACCCCTGACAATGCAATCACTTAGAAGGGAATCAGCACCCCTCGCCATAAATATTAATTCATTTTATATGTGCAATTGTGTGTATTACTGTAGTGCAAATAGCTCTGCATTGATCGCGGAGCAGCCGGCCCGAAGGGGGCTGCCCCAGGTGACACAGGGACTAGTTAAGGACAGACGAGAATCAACACGGACTTCAAACAAACAAACAAAAAAAGCAACCCAACCACTGGGAAACGCCAAAAAAGAAATCCCAGGCGCTGCCTCCGACTCGGCGCGGGCAGGGCTGGGCAGTGCTGGTGCCTCGTGCACCGTGCCCGGCAGCAGCCCCCAGGGCCAGGCAAGGGCAGGACAGTGCCGTCGCGCCCTGCCTGCTGCCGGAGCGGCCTGGCGCGGTGCGGAGGGTGTGGGGACAAGGAGGGGGACACGGGACAGGCGCGCGCCGGTCGGAGCTGTGCAGGGTGTCGGGGGAGAGCACAGCAGGACACGGGCGCAGCAAGAGCATCGCTGGCCTTCAAAACCGGCCCTGCGGCTGCGTAGCGCACTGCAGGGCAGTGCTGCTGGTTAAACCTTTCCACGGAGGCAATAGTGAGCCCAGCAGCGTCCCCGGGCACCCCGCGACACCTCTCTCCATCCCACCGAGCCCAGCAGCGTCCCCGGGCATCCCGCGACACCTCTCACCCATCGCTGCCTTTGGCCCGAGCTCTGGCTCTGCAGCCGTACCCGTCACGTGCTGTGCCAAGGGACTGAGCTCTGGGCATTTCTCCATCACCACCTCCTCCCTCCGGCCCAGCGCCAGCACCCAGCACCGCACAGCCAGCTCCCCGGCACAGCCCGGGCCGGTGCCAGCTCCTCGGGACAGGCGGAGCCTCCTCCGCCACGCAGGGGACAGACGGACAGCTTGCCTTGGCCCCTCCAGCTCCACACGAAGTGCTTCTAAGGGTAACCACAGCGCGTCCTCATGAACCCAGCGAACAGTTTGGATCTAAGCTATTTGACAGCCTCCTGTTGAATCACGAGCAAACCACCGAACGAGACACGTTGACATGCGGGCAAAGACCACGAAGCAGCGTCCTGATGGGCGCGGGGAGGGAAGAGGGGCGCGGGGGAAGCGCGGTGCCGTTTGGGGACAGCATCCCGCTCCTCCTCTGCCAGCCCAGTCCCCAACACCCATCTCCACCCACCCAGGCTCCCCCCCCCCTGCTTTTTGGGCTTTTTTTTTGCCGTATAGATGGGAACAAAGGCTGGAGAGTGGAAGTGTCACATGCACACACACACTCACACGCAGACCCGCGCCGGCACTGCGGCGGCACGCGATGCACACACACCATTTGTGGTCCCGACGGCAGAAGGTACGACGCCATCCTCTCCCCCCTCCCCGGTGAAAAGTTTCTTACATTTATACATTGTTTAAGACACGCCGATATATAAATTACTGTCTCTATATATACTATGTATAGGCAGCAGGGCCAGTCCATGAGGAAGGGCACCAGTGGGGGCTTCTGCTCATTTCCCTCGGTCCTCTGTGTAGTGCTGGAAGCGAGTGAAGCTCATGAAGACTTGCTCCAGGGATATCTGGCTCACCGAATAGTCTTCCAAGCGATACTTCTCTTTGGCTTTCTCCAAGGCCCCGAAGACCTGCAAGGGACGGCGCGGCGGTTACTGCAGGGCACCTCGGCCGCGGGAGAGCCCCGCGGGCCGCGACTGAGAAAGCAGAAGACGCCTCTTCCTCCCGGGAGACCCGGGGGAGTGAAACCTTCCCGAGCAGGAGGCGGCGGGCAGCCAGGGGGTGGATTACTTCGCAGTAATCCATCAGTAATCAGTAACTCAGTACCTGACCCCATTTAAAAATATCTATGATACATACGCAGATATCTACGTGTGGTCTTCTATATGTACCCCTGGGCTGGGACCCCAGCCCAAGGCTTCTGCTCAATACATTATATAGAGAAATATATTAGTATTTATACATTATACAATACATTATATATATAAAATATATATCTAATATATAAAAAACTATACAGCATACTATATACACTATACTTAACTATCTGTGTATAGTATAGTTTTTATATATGGTTATATACTATAGATATAGTTTTTACACAATCTGTGTACTATGTAGTCTATATATAGTATACTCTATATATTGTATACTATACACTATATTCTGCTATATACTCTAATCTAGAGTATATAAGTATATATATACGTTTCTATATGTATCTGTATACTATATACTCTGCATATAGTGTATATAGTTTTTTATATATCTGTATACTGTATGCTCTCTATACTCTCTATATATGCTCTATATGGAGTATATATATGGGAACATGGATGGCACTGGTGGACACAGCGCTGACCCGCCAGAACCTCTCTGCTCCCTGCTGCTGTATATAGTATTTATAGTTTTTTATATATCTGTATACGATATACTCCATATGCTCCCTATACTCTCTATATACTCCATATAGAGCATATATAGAGAGCAAACACACACTATATGCAGCAGCAGGGAGCAGAGAGGTGCTGGCGGGTCGACGCTGTGTCCACCAGTGCCACGTTCCCAGCCGGGAGATGCGGGGTGGGAAGGATGCAGCTACCACCCCCCCCTCCCTTCCCGCGCCCCCCGAGCCTTCCCGGGACGCTGCGAGGCACCAACAAAGGCACGATCGGCTCTGGCTCCCCAGGGGGACCCCGCTTGCCCTCCGGAGGGCTGCGGGCAAGGGCAGCCAGGTCAGGGGGGGACGGAGCGGCCCCGGTGCGTTGCGGGTGCTCGCGTGCTGACCGTACATG